ATAGTTACTATTGAAGTTGAATAGGAAGTCCTATACTGGCAATCTAAGTGTGACCTTGAAATTGACCTTTGACCTACTTTTTATCATGAACTGAACTCTGCTAATTTCTTTCTCTTTTAACTTCAAACTTGACAGAGATAGGTCCATAGTTACTCTTGAACTTGAATAGGAAGTCATATACTGGCAATTTACTGTGACCTTGAAATTGACATTTGACCTACCTTACGAAGAACTTAAATTTGATTGTACCATATATTTTTTTTGCAATAGTTTAAAAATTCTTGTTGATTGCATTTTTACAGCTTGTCAAGCACAAAACTGGTGGCTGTGTCCCTTATTTTGTGTATGTTGGGGTCTATACGAATGCGCTTGCTCCAGCTGGTGGTACAATATTCGGAGGCGGTATCGCCTCTCTGATCCTCTAGTTTAAAGACAGATTCAGTTTATTGGCTAAAGTGAGCTCCCACACCTAATTCCCTCTCTTTTAATACATTATTCATTTAACATTGTTATTAACAAGGTAATTACCAAAATGGTGAATAAAATTTGTTTCTACTTTTTGCTATTATTATTTTGTATATTTTGTACTAAAATTCTGATAACCATTGTCTGTTTTTACTGTTGCCAATAATGTTACCATCCATCTCATTTGTTAGCATCATAACTGCTAAAGTGTATTTTTATTTTACTTTGAATTTTTTGAGAGATTTTATTTGACGAAAAGGCAGCCTGAGCTTAAACAGTGGCATGGATTATTTCCATGAAAGTTATTGATCATTTTTGTATTTTTTACACACATTTTTGCTATGTTAACACCACCAGTGCCAAATTGTGTTTTTTTTCCTAAAATTTGGTGAAAAAGTAAGTTGAATTTATAAATTGGCATGATTGATTTATTTTCTAAAAAGGTACATTTCATGGTGTTTTGTCCCATGTATTCTTTAATACAATATGTACAATTGTAGAGATTTGTTAAATGTTATCAAAATGAAAATCTAATTTGTTTTGGGTAACAGGAATTAATATTTTCTAATTCTGTAACATTTTTGAAAATTTTATTAATTGTTATGTGAAACAAAGAGCTGAACCTATGTTTACTGTTTAGATGGAGAATTTGTATAAAATAGCAAGTTAATTGAAGGCAGGTACAGTGTATACATTTCACAAAGTCAATCACAGTATAAACATTTCAAAGTTGGATACTTGTTTACTGGAATGTGTCTATGGCTCTATTCCCATAAATTTTAGATCGATCTATCCCCGCGGGGAGTCTCACTAGATTACTTTCAGATAATCCGACTTAAATGTCCGTCCCGCCTACTACAAGCTGTAACGGGGTAATTAATTTTCGTCTCAGCCTGGCTGACAGCTATTTAGCGTGAACCCCCAGGGAGTTAGGTCGATCTAAAGTAGGTCGATCTAATCTATGGAAATGGGGTGTATTTATCTTAAAATGGAATAGTGATGATAACCATCACTTTCTTGTTTAGTGTCTGTGGATACATGTATGTCATTTTCACTGTTTCGTTTTAATTTGGGTTATATTAAAAAATATTGTTCAGTGGTCTGCGTAGAATGCCCAGTGTGTTAGTGGCATGCATTTGGCTCAGGTATCTTTTTTTTTTTTCAGCTGATAAACCATCAGGGAAAGTCCAGATATCAGAAGGTAGATTTGGGGCATTTAAGCATGATTGTGAGTAAACATTTAGCATTCAACATCGCTGCTTTGAATAATTATGTAAATCCAGTTGAATATCAATAATTGATTTACAAAGTGATGTGCTTTAGCCTTTATGTAATATATGTGTTTATATAAGAACTGGCTTTTTTCTCAATCAAAATAATTGAATATAATTTATGAATATCAATTATCTTTATTTGATTTCACTTTGCAGTAATTGAGGATGTGGAGAGTAGATTGCTGTCTGATGTGAAATATGCCAAAGCCCATGGGATAAACCTAAAGGACATTGCCAAAGATTTTGAAAACAGAGGTACAAAAAAGTTGTTTTATGACTAAAATTGATTCACTTTTTATTACCAAGAGAAGTTGAAGGTCAACTGTGGTCATGTTATAATACATGCGTGTTCTCACAACATATAATGTTTTCTGAATAGAGAGAGATGTTTACGTAATCTTTAACATGTAGACTGCGGTTAGATGTTGAGATCAGAGGACAAGAAAGAATAACCCTCAGAATCTTTAAGATACCATTTACTTTCATTTCAGCGAAAGTGGCCAAATTATCCCCAAAACCAAGATCAACAGCATCAGATGAGAGAGAAGACAAGGACTTGGCTTCACTACACAAGCGCCCTCTACCACCTAGTAATATGTAAACCATATATACAGCTGATCATTTTGTGTTGATCTGTAACATACTATTTAGAAAAGACCAGGATAAATGCAATAAAGGTGTAAATAGAGGATGGAGTGCAGTTGTAATACAGTCTTAAAAATATTGGGATATCCAAAGTCATTTAGATGGACAAGTGTATGACTTCTGAAAGAAGAATATCTGAGTTTCTACATTGTAACATGTTGAGCTTTAAGTACCACATCATTTAGCTCCCCTATGCCATTTATTTATATAGGTTATTTACCAGACATGAATTTTTTTCTTCTGCCACGTATAAATGTAATACTATTTGGTCAACAGAAGGATCCTACATTTCATAGAATGCCAGATGATAGTTTTAATGAATATAAGAGCCTTTTGAATTTAGTCTAATCTGACAACAAAAATTTGAATACTTTAAATTGGACACATAAAAAAATTATTTTTGGTTTAACTAAATGTAATTAGTATTTATTTGTAATAAAAGTTGGACTTTTTTATTTTGCTTTGGTCCAAAAAGGCTTTACAAAAATGCATACATATTGTGCACAGGCATAGCAGTTTTTTTTTTCTTGGGGGGGAGGGGTCTGCAGGGATGCTTGTTTGTAGCTTTTCTACAGGAACCTCCATTTTTCTTTACACTATATCATCACTGGTGCAATGGCAGATTCTCTATAGGCCTACTAATGTTGAGGTTTAAAACCTTATAGTACAGACAGGCAGCAATTATAAGATTAGGGTTGTCAGATTTAAACTGAAATTTCACATAAAAATACCCTGTCAAAATACTCTTGTCACATTTTGAACCACATCCTCAAAAATGTCAGGAAATGCTAATATGTTTCATAAAACCTTCATCCAAAATGATAAACACTATTGGCAATAAAACTATGTGTGGGTTTTTAGTCACTTCTTGTGCGCCCTTACATATAGCCTAGTTGCACCAAAATGACTTCAAGCAGCATAGTATTTCCAATCACTTGTAATTGTTTTGTGCTGGCTGGGTTCCACAATTTAAAAAGCATGATTACCCTTTATGAACTTTTGACATTTGTTTCTTGCTTTAATCTTAAAATAAATTACAAATCCAAATTGAAAATGTAAAGATTTCCATAAGAATCCTAAGTGTCAAGCACAGGCGTGGTTTTCCTGAAGTTATTGAACTTCATAGTAATTATTGCCATTTACAAACTTATATTTCACACACCTTGAGCTATTTTACAAACAGGCATATTAACACCAACCACTGCCCTTAATACAGCTGTTATTACTGTGGGACCAGTACGCCACCCAATAGCGTAGGTGTTGAGGACGAAACATGGATATTAGAGAATAACTTAGTAGGTGATATCATAGGATTATGATGAGTGATTCATTGTTGCTAGGGAAAATGTTAAAGGCTAATTATTTAAAACTTTCAAACATTTGGTCTAATAATTCTTTATTAAAGGATGTATCAGTTTTAGTTACAAGTACTCTTTGCCTCGAGTCCAATTTACTTTTCAAAACTTAAAACAACATTGCGAAGTATTGCTTTTTGATTGTTTTGTTCAAATTTATTGAGTAATTACAGTTTAGGTATAAATGCCATTCAGAAAATGTCATTGGCTTTGCTTTAACAGGATCCTATTACCACATTGGCTGTTATTTATGGTTCGAGTTGAAAACCATTCAAAGTGGGAGCATTCAATGTAAAACTATGTGCAAACTTGTAATTGACAATGTGTTAAATGCTTTATTATACTTTTATAACCAAAGATACATATAAATTTTCAAGCCATTTATATCGAGTCATCTCACACAAATTTTATGTAAGATGCAAATAGACCATCTTTAATTTCTTTTCAAGTAATCCTATCATTTGGTTTATTGATTCCATGGTTTTGGATGTGATATTTTTATCAATCTAGCAGTAGACAGCTGTCTCTTTATCAAATAAATGAATTTTATGCTACATTTATGAGGAAACGTTTAAAACAATTCAACAAATATTTATTTTATGAATTAGAATTTACATGGTATAAAGTCCGTAGATGGCATACACTTAAGGCAATAAATCTCTCACAGTTGCCCATTGAAATGTTTGCCACTTGATAATATCTGTATTTGCTATATTTAGCATTAAACATAAACACTTTAAGCTCCATTCCATGAATCTCTTGTAACATTTACTCCTTAACCACATGTTCATATTGCACATAAAATTTGAGTAAAACTATTTTCAGATCGAATGATACATGTACCCCATCAAAATTTGTCATCTCTGAAAACAGAAATTCACACTTACAATATCTTGGTCCTCTTTATACTGATTAAAAATTGGTTCCCAGGCAGCAGTTTCAAAACCTACGAGAAGGTCATTCCACAAAAAAAGTAAAAATTTGAGTCACATCAGTGATGCATACATTTTGTGTAACATTTACATAACTTTGCATTGTTCCATTATTTTTTCTGCTTAGTGCTATAGCATCCTCCAATAATAAATCATCCATAATAAAAGTCATATAAAACTGACTGAATTATATTAAAATATACAAATGTTACACAAAATGTGTGCATCACTCAAGTGTCTAAAAAAGTTCACATTTTTGTGGAATAACCTGGAAATCAAATAAACCACAGTGCGGCTCTCCTCTCAAGGTCCATGTCAAGTTTTCAGTGTATACAATTAATGAATTAAGAATGTTTTTCAACAGTTCTGGGTATCACACTGCCAAGTGGTTTAAGTTATGGCAATAATATCTGTACTTTCATTGAAACTCTAAATGTCACCATCCCAAAGCACAGCTACATGTAGTTTCCCACATTACACCAGTTTCCCACAATATTCCATGACCAGACACAAAAACAAGCAATGTGCACTGGCACATGACCCAGAATTATCAATATATGTACATATGCCAAGTATAACAACAGTACTTTGAAACCATTCACAGCCTGCAAATGGGGAGGAAATTAAAATCTCCCCAACTCGATGTTCTAACATTTTCTAACGCTAATTATTAATGAAAAAATTAAATAAAATAATAAGCTTGGTTAACCACAACCATTCAAGATAAAAAATATTAACAATATAAAAACAATGCTTAGAGGCAAAGAGAGGTAAATATTTTTCAATCAATGGTGCTCCATTCCTCTTAAAGTAAGAGCTAGGTCCTTCAAGTCAAGATCACTCAATTCTTGTAGAGAGCCTGCTAAGAAGCACTTGAAGTTATCAATCTTATCCAAAGTACAGCAGCCACATGCTTCACTACAATGTGTGTAAGCATTTTCAATATCATGGCTTCTACACAATCAGTACAATTTGCTGTACCAGTAAGTCATGCTGTGGACTTAATATAAAGTAATGCAATCAAATCTCATTTTTTGCCTTTAATTTTGTTGATTTTGTAAACAAAGACCTGTTTCAGGCAAGACATGCGGCACAAAATAATGTGAATACAATGCCTGTTTTGATGAAACATGCTACCTCTATACAACATGTATAATGTCATACAAAACAATCAAAGAGAATATCATGTCCAAATAAGACCATCAACTCTTGCTGTTCGGAATACAATTTATGGCTGAGGATTTTGAACTACAGCCAGGTATCTTTTCTCTGGGAACAGGACCCCAGTCAGCTCTGCTAACAAGAACTTAGCATCCCTCAAACACCTGCCTCTTGAGCTGACAAACTGACAGGCAAAATCTATCTGCTCTTTGAGGGGTGTGTACTGCTTGTTTGTCTTGAGGTTTCTGAGGGACGTGACAATTTGCTGTACATTGGGTGGAGTATGGTCATGGGGCACGAGTCTAAGAGCATTGTTCTTCACGATCTGTGCTTGAAGGAAAGCAGACAGACTTCTTGCCACTAAACGGAACCTGCAAGATAAACCGAAGTAAATTAAGACACAAGAAATTAGTTGAGAAAATGGTTCATACCACCAAAAAACTATAAACTAACCATAATGAATATGTATCTTATACAATTTTTTAACTTCTACTTAAAAGTAAAAATTATTACTTTCCTCATATTTTACATTTTCTTACAAAGAAAATTATACCACAATAAATAATTATTTCTATACTGGGCATAATACAACACATGCAACTGTAAATACACATTTTGTTAAAACTACTTGGACAAAATTGCATTTAAATTCGGAACATCAGGAAAGTGACAATTTTCAATCTCTTTACCTAACAGACAAGTTGGATGCCCTGCCAAGACCTATAGCTCCCAGTAGTCCAGCACTTATCTTGTCTTCTCCCAGTGTGGTGAGAGCTGCGATGAAGTTGTTCAGAGATCTGATCACAATGGCATGCGAGGCGCCAAAGTCAATCTGCCGTAGCAGCAGATCTAGGATCTTACCCCACCACAGGAATAACTTGGCTTCATTTTCACTTCTGAGAAAACAAATGTGTTTGATAATCATTTAGTACTTGAAACTTATCTGCAGCTAAAGGAATACAATAACATAAAACAACAAGAATATCTAAGCATAGAATTAAATCAGATATGAGGACTGCAAACAAATAGAATATACCTGGTGACTTCCCTCAAACTTTAAGAACTTTATTTTTGTTAATTTAGCAAACCTGGATAATTAGGCTCATCACAGAATATGTGGAGTGCAAGTAGATTTGTGCACAATACACAACTGACAAAATGTCACGCTTTAGAATTTATCATAAAACATACGTTGGTTTGGCAGTGGCAGTCCACTGCACTATCCCAGCAATATGGCTATTTTCTTCATCAAGGCTCTGGCATTTTGGTAAATGCTGCAGGACATACGCGTACAATGTCAAATAGCTGCCCTGACGTAAACTTTCCACCAGAAACTCCCGAAACGTCAACTCTGGTATCTGCATGGCTGACAGCAGCCTACCCCAACCATAACTTTCACTCAGTTCCAAGCCTGGAAGTGTGGAATACACTTACGTAAATAAAATATAAAATTCACCTTGTTATGTCTTTCAAGATTTATTTACAATTTTAATTATGATTTCAATTTTTAAAAAATTAATGAAATTTTGAAATGCTGTATCTTCTAAATACCAATATAAATTACTATTACATGCTGGATGTTTTAAATACAAACACAAAGAACTCTAATTATTAACTTATACAAAGATCATTCAGAGAATGAAATAAATTTCAAAAAAAAAAAAAAAAATTAAAGCAGTATTTTTTTATTCAGAAAATATATAAAGATAAAAATCACCAGAATTAAAGAAGGCATCCATGCAGTTCTCAATGATTTGCACCATGTGTACAATGGAGGCCAAGCACCTGCAACCTGCTGTGACCAGAGGCAGCAGGAGGACTGTGCACGGAGATGACTCTATCCACTGACTGATACTCCTCAGGACTGCTGTCACTGTGGTCGTCTGGGGGTTACAGTTATTCAGCAACTGGAGGACCTCCACGCACAGGGTGACAGACTCTTCCCACTGGATAGACAGATCTGGGACTGGAGGAAAATGACAGAGAACGGCTTACCACACTCTTAAGAAATAAGTGTTTTAAAACAATGGATTTGAGCAAATACAACCAAAAAGATATCTTTAATAATGAAATGGCAATCCACGAGAAATATCTACCCAGAAATTTAAAAAAAAACGTTTTATTTGAGCAAATACAACCAAAAAGATATCTTTAATAATGAAATGGCAATCCACAGGAAAATCTGCCTGAAAATCATTGAAATTTACAAAGGAAAAGAATCTTAAATTGTAAACTAAATTCTTAACATGGACATATGGTATAGAAAGTCCAGCTGCCAAACTAAGAGCAATACTCACTGGTGCTGACCACAGTTTCCACCTCTGTGAGCAGATTTAAAATGAGAGTTGTGAAGTTCTCTGGGTCTACTCCCTTCATTTGGGAGCACTTGCAGACCAGCTCTACCACACAGTGAACATACAGCGCCCTCTTGCGAGGAGTTTCAGGGTGAAAAGGGCTACCTGTAGCACTCACAAACCCAGCCGCTGATTTGAGTAACCTGGTGAAAGACAGTTATAAATGAATGATTAAACTATTACAGCAATTGACTGAAAATATAAAATACAGGAATCACTGACATTCAAATTAGTCCCATGCACACTTAATTAGACAATACAAAGATTGATTAATTACCAGTAAGTAGTTTTAAACTTTAATGATCTGCCTCAAGTATTTTATTTTGTTACATACACATTTGCCTTTCAAATGAAAAACAAGTTTTGACAATTTTTTTTTTTGCAAATCATCTTCTGGTACATAGCAATGATAATAGCCAGATATTTTTTCTGTAGTAGACCTTTCCATAACACTTTAGACAATTAAGTTCAGATAAAAAGCTTTTTGCTTGTAAATTTTTCTTCCAGTAGATAGCAATGTAAATTCTATAAGCTATTTTCTGGGTCATTTTATTTTAACTTTCCACACGTCACCTCAGGACCACTGCACTGTTTGAGGACCTCTCTGCCAGGACACATTTAGGATCACAATACTGCAAGAACCAGTCAGACACTCTCTTGAAGTTGTCAGCATCCAAGAAATGCCAGGGAAATGATTCTGCTAAAAGTAATAGCCTAGGCAAATCTGAACCCTGGAAATATACATAAACATGCATTTTTACTTATTCAATTAGTCTCTTCCAATTCATGGTTGATATGTACTCAATATGTCAGATACACATGTAGTCACATGAATGTTTCATTAAATGGGCTGACTTACTGTCATATTTCTTATATGAAAAAATTACAATATTGGTTTATAAAAATATGTAATATCTTATTCAAATAAAGATAAATTATAGTATTCATAAGATGTTGATAGTTAATAGAAGCTGAAAACCAGTAAAGCATCAGAATCAAAATCAGAGAGGTCAAAACTTAATCAAAATGCATTTTATAAAAATAAATTCACAGTTATATATTTGAAAGAGTCTATGTGCTTTGTGCATGGACTCGTTAATTCCAAGTCACTTCAAAAACACACAGGTCGGTACCTGCACATCCATAAGTCCTTTCTCTTGAGACATTTGAATCAAGAGCTGGAACAAAATAGCCATGAGTCCTGTGGTGCCCTCTGCAGGCTGCTGTGTGAGGTAAAAGTTGACGATATCTTGCCAAGGCATCTGTGTGAAGACCAAACCAAGGAATACAAAGCTTTCCCTGGTGCCCACAGCCTGGAGCTGAAACAGAGAGGACAAATTGTTATTCTTTTCTACTCTATTCTGTTCCATAAGGTCCAAACACATAACAACCCCTGCTTAGATTCTTGAATTAAACAGCAGATGACCAGATGCATAGTTCGTGAACCTTCTTGGATAAAATTGAGTGTTAATTGAGTGTTAATTAAGTGAAAATTGTGTTGTTGCACAAAAAAAAGCCTTAAATGTTAATTATTTCAAAAATTAAAGTATTCATATACCACTATATCTACCTATTTACTTTAAAGTAAAAACCACAAATCTAATGCACCAACACCTCAATATCAAATAATCATAACCTACCTTGACCATCAGTTCTAAAGTCTGCAGATCTGGAAGGAACTTTCCCCACTGAAGTGTAGTCAGTCTGGCATGGAAGACCTGTAGAATGTGTTCTGGGGTTTTCTTTGCAGATAACACTTTCACATAGTACTCCCACACCAGGGTGAGGGCATTCCTGGCAAAAGGCGGGATGAAGCCTAGAATTGAGGTACAAAGCTGCATATACATGTATATACTTGTTCAAGGGGAATGGTGTGCATAGTTACAGAGTTGTATGAGCTGTGTAATGGATTTCTAATATTCAATTCTTTATGAAAGATACATTTATAAGTTATTCTAATTTGTTGTAAATTTAAATAACTCAAAACAAAATGTATGCCAAAACCTATAACATGCATGTGCAGGGGCGGATTTAGGGTGTCTTCTGGGTCTTCCGGAAGACTGTCAGATTTTCAAGTTTACATTGACGGGTATCTAAATTTTTCTGTTGGAAGACGGTCAAAAATGGAGGATGGATCAACAAAGATAATTTGGAAGACTGTCAGAAAATAACTCTGGATCCGCCCCTGATGTGCATGTGTGAGAAAATATCCTATCACCCAGAAGAATATATGCCACAGCACCTTGTACATCATTTGAATGAAGCGTATGTGTGTACATGATATGATACAAAAATATCACATTTCAACTGGAACCTTTAAAAGCGTTTAGCCCAAACCTTCTAACTGCTTGAAGTTGCAGGCCACACTCTCTGTGAACATGGCCACCATGTCAAAGGCTGTGTTGGTATCTCCAACAATCCATGGGCACAGCACTTCCCCATTGTCTCTGTGTAAAGGTTCCAGCCATGGCGCAAACACCTGAACTGTGGCCTGCCACACAGACTCAGCTCCTGTGGAAAACCATAATACAATAGTAAGTCAATGAATTTGAATGACACGAATTACTCATTTAACTCCCTCAAAAATATTTTGTTGATAGTACTAAAAATGCTGATTCAAAATTTTTTTAAATGTTGGTTGGCCTTGCGTCAAATAGTACAATAAGAAAATACTAAAAAAAATAAATTTATTCTGAAAAGTTAAAATATAAGAATAAGTGAAGTATTTATATTCAATTCAATTTCAAATTTATCTCTGGTGCATTACCATTCTGTTTTTGGAATTTGCATTGCCAATATGTGAATGAACCAATATATCTTTATAATTGTAATATAATTAAAAAAATTTACAAAAAGTGTTCAACGAACACTGCCGCACATGTACTGATCGGAAGCGCTAAGCACACTGATTGCGCATGCTTGGCTCACATCTCATTTAAACTTCCGTAATATTCGTAATGTAAGACGAAGTGGAATTTATTATTATACAATGGAAACTGTGATGGAATAACTCCAACTACTGACTTATCATATCCCAGTTCTAATATTATGCAAAACATATTTATTTGTATTGCATGCCTTGAATTTTGTTAAATAATCTGTGCAAAGATCGTTAATCAGATATCTAAAATCAAAACATAGTATGTGACCTGCCTTACCTTCCTGTGGGTTAAAGTTGGCCTGTCCAGCCTGCAGACTGCCCACTGTCTTGAGGACCAGGCTGCCACACAGATAACCCAGGAACACACTGATGTGTGTCACATATGGCTTCCACTGGGAGTACAGACCAAATGAGGCCAGGCTGGGGGTGGTGGTCCTCAACTTCATAAAGTAAGTAGACAGCCAGTCAATACTCTCTTTGAACTAAAAAAAAAGGAAAGGAAAAAGCATTATATGACAATGTGTAATATAATAATTTGAGATGTTTTTAAAGTTCTGTTATGTCAGCTTTTATTTACGGTCTGATCAGCAAAAATTAAAACAATATTCAAATGTCTTCTCATTGAATAAGCTTTTCAGAACTAATTTCTGAGGCAGCTGTTAAATCAGATTAAATGTTTGTTCAGTGGGGAAAGTGAAATATAACTAGGTATGGAAAAAAGAGAGTTTGAAAGAAAACAATGTAAGTTGAAAAGGGTCCGATTTTACACCCAAAAGCTTATCTGAGATCAATGTATGAAAGGACAAAAAACAGATATTTGACTTTAGTTAATCACAAAGAAAAATATTTAATACCTGTAAGTAAATGTATTGCCGATCTTAGGAAAAAATGGTACACTACTGCAAATATGTAACTGATTTGGAAGAATTTCACATATTAGGCTTAAAGAAGATACACTTAACAGAATGATCTCATGAAAAAAAAGTGAGAAAATGTCAGTTTTCACCTGTGCTGTGGTGGTGAGTGCCTGTGACTGCATCATGTTGTCAGCATAAGACAGGTCAAAACCCTCTTGTCTCACATATTTACAACCAATGCTCTCCAGGAAATCACCCCAGATCTTTGGACATAGTTTGCCTGTGCTGGAGGCTAGGATAGAAATGTAAGTGAAATAGAATAAAATACAATATTTTCAACAGAGTGTGACCATGCATATGATTATATGCCCTCATGTTGGCATTAGCTGCAATTTCTGAAGTCATCTTTTCTATGATACATTAATTCTATTCAGAGAAATAAATCCCTGGTTAGACAATAGATATATACAGAAGATTAATTTCTAAAAGCGATACCAGATATCAAGAAAATGTCCCTCACCATTGAGAAGTAATTTCAAGACATCCCCATACTGGTCAGGAAACTCATATGATGTCAACTTCTTCAGGTGTGATCTGTACACCTGAAAAAAAGAAAAAAAGAAAAAAAAAACTTAAACATTGATATGATCTTTATTGTTTTTTGTCATTCAAAATCTACATAATTTAATTATCAAATCGCATCAGTTCCATTGTCAGAATGAAAATTTAAATTCATGACAGTGAAAAAGAGAGAAAAAAAATTTACCAGAAAGGCATGAGAATCAGTCATATGCATGTGATCAAGAATCTTTGATAAATAGTCAAAACCTTGTGACTAGCAGATACATTTAATTTAGTACCATCTTTCTACATGTAACAATGTAAAAACCTACTTCACCAGAAAAATATCAGAACACTTTGTACACTAAATCTATGCCAGGAAGATATAGCTTTATACTACAACAAACTATGAACCTCTGCAATGGTCAGGTGTTCACAAGATCTGCCCCTGTCCTTATGTCCTTACCTCAAACACCATGAGTGTATTCTCTGCCGGTTCGTTCCCACATTGGCACAATGCTTTACCTATGGTCTCTACAAGATGGCTTCTCTCTGAGTGCACAGGCCTTACATTGCCTAGCCACTGGGGGACATCGAACTAGAATAAAATGTCTTCCTTCTTCATTCTTATAATCACACTAGGAAAATATTAAGGCTGATGGTAAGTAAATACTCGTAGACTTATTCCAGAGGAGAGAAAGAGAAAGCAGAAAACTGTAACAGAAATTTTGCCAGGAAGAAAAGAAAACTAAAGAACTAAAAACTAAAAGAGAATTCTGGGCGTTTCAAGATTAGAATGTTTCAGAGTTTGAATTCAACAATTTTAAAGAAACCCAATAAATAAAGAAGTTTTGCCTTAGGATTAAGCATCAAAGTAGTTGCAGCTGACCAAGTATCAATTCATCTATATATTGTGTTTGTCACTAACATCTTAAATGAATCTTATACTACTAGGGCAGAGGAGGTATAAATAACCAAATTATTTCAGCACCAAAATTTTTGTATGTGAGCCTTACCTTGGTCAGTAACATGAAGGTGACATCACATCCATGCCTTTGTGAGGCGTCAATCACCTGTTCATACATGCGAACAAAAGTGTCGGGGCAGGCATTGGGGAAGAAATGGGGGGCCAGTAAACCCCCTAGTGAAGGGCTCTTCAAAATGGTCTCCAACAGCGGAAGAGATTCTTTGGGATTGGGGCTAATGAACTCCTAAAATTGAAAGAAAATTGAGCAAATGCAACATTACTGATGAATTTCAATTTCTTTTACAGTCATTCTTTGCTAGTGGTGCACTGCGGGGGGACCATAACAAGAATGTTATTTAAATTTAGATAGCTGACCAAATTCTCATGACATCGTTGTGTATGTTTCAATAACAAATCAAAGAAGCTGCATGAGCAAGGAGGATATTGTTATAAAAGCAAAAGAAGAGAAAAAGCAGAAAATATATCGAAATTACCCTCAAAATGGCGTCTTTTTTTGTGGAATTTCGACCCTACCTCTATTTAGGAACAGTTTGTTTAGGGTTTGAATGANTTTGAAATTTTCGGTCAAATTCAACATTTTGTAACCACTAGCAAAGAATGACAGTTTAAGTAATTTATTAACACACATATTATGTGAATATTCATAGGTCTAAACTAAACCTACGAAAACCAAGATATTTATCATTTTTGATAATGTTCCTAGCTGTAAATAAGCTATGACCAATTTTTTTTTCAAGTACCTGTCCCAAAATCTCTATACAAGATGAGAAGAACTGCCTTGTAGGTGGATAATATTTCGTTTCATCCCCAATCATGGATGCCATGTGGTAAAACAAAGCTGATCCAACACTTGAATACTGAGGAGGGACAGGGGATTCAGAATGTGCTTCTTTGATCAAGGCTCTGGAATTTGAAAATTAGGCATATTTTATTATCAAAAAAGATGTATTCTGGAGTTCCTTCCTAATGTACTGCACACTATTTCTCCACATTGATCCAATATAATGTAAGAGGTAAATGGTCAAATTTAATATTTATCTGGGCACTTTTCACATCTGTACGAACCACAACACGTCTGTCCAATCAAGTGTTTATGAACTACATAAATCAAATTAACTTCACTTAACCTTTCAAAAAAGTGTACATGCATTTAAAAAATATTCTAAAACATTAACAGTTTACAGGCCTGATCTTGATACAAACACTAATGAAGACTACTGGTTCAATCCTGGTACAAACCAAAGACATACCAAGACTGAACTAGGCTTGTGGCTATAGTCATGACATTCTGGGTATATTCTAAATATATATACATACATGATGACATTCTCCACATGGACAGCAGCACTGCAGATATTTTGAGGTGGAGGTTGTGAGGACTGGGCCAGCAGCTGCTTCCACTCACTGCGGTTCTCTTCAACTCTCTGGTACACCGACTCGTTGCGCTTTTTCTCCTCAAACTGAAAAATGATGGTTCATTATTATTATTATTATTATTATTATTATTATTATTATTATTATTATCCATTTATTTTTGTTAGGAGATATGCTTATTATAACATGTTATACTTGCTGCCTTAAAGTTTATTCTCCAGTAACTCCACAGAATAAATCACAAGGAGTGTTACTGGCTGTGGAAAGATCAACATAAACTTACGATGGATGCTCACTTAATATATGACTTTTACAGAAAACAACAAGGTTTGTCTATTTACTCTGACGGTCACAAAAGCGGGTCCTTTACAGTTATGAGACAGGCTGAATGTGCTCTTGCAGCTGATGTACATCTCTTTCTGAAAATTTGAAAAAAAAATTAATATATAACTCCAGGAGTTCAAATAAAATGAATACACAAAATGAAACAAAGTTTTTAAATAATCAAAGTACAACTACCTTTAGAGCTAAAACTCAAAGCACAACTCACCATGGTTGGTTCATTCCTGTACAGATTTGGCAGAAGCTCCTGATAACTGAGGTCCAGTGCCAGATGTTGCGAAACAGAGGCCATAAATAACCTGACATAAAGAGACAGAGAACATGCCATCATTCCTTGCCATATGCAATGATTTACTCAACAGCTCATTTTTTTTATTAAAAAATTTTGATAAAAATTAGTTTTCTGGGCATGCACGCAGCCTCATAAGTCTCCAGACAATTTGGACTGTGACTGACCAGTGTTGGTCACTGTAGTCTGAGTCACCTTTGTCTGAAAGCAAAAGCCTTCACTCAGCAGTCTAATGGACTTTCAGCTGATAAGGGTAGTATGTATTTTACTCATGTCAAAAAGTTTTTCCCAAATTCTGATGACAACTAGGATAGACAGTTTTTCAAGTGAGAAAGAAATGCAATTTTGAATGAGTCTTGGACTCCAAATATTATAAAAATTATTTGCAGCCCTACTCCTTGACAAAAGACTGCATTCTTAGAGTGCTTTCTTATCATTGTATAAGACTTACTTTGAGTATTCCACCAGCCCTGCTAGGTCAGCACTGATGGTGTAGATGAGGGTGTCCTTGTCCCCCAGTATGCTGGGACTCACATCTGGCAGAGGGGCTTTCAGGGGGACCAGGGGCGGTGGAGGGAGCGGCTGCTCATATCTCTGCAGTCTACCAAGTATTCTCTCTGTAGCTGTAGTAAAGGAAAATTTTATTTTGGTATGCTTTTTTATATTCACATTTTCTTCTAACTTCTTTTTTTTTAAATCAATGAAAGAATACTGCTGTGCCTCTACAATCAAAGAACATTATCTGGTAGCAAGAAACAATGGAATCTATTCAGTTACACATAGGTGGTTCAAACCACTTACCAGCAAGAGGGTTATAGGCATCAATCATCGAGTTCCTTCTCATCCTGTAGTTGGCCTTGGGACACATTTTGGTCACCCATTCACTGACCATCTGGGACAACTCATAATCTAACTGAGCAGAGTCAAGAAATTCAACCCACGGTTCCTGGAAAAGTACAGCGATACAGAAATTAATAGAATGAACTTTAATGACCAATGATACTGATTAAAAAAAATGAAAAAATCCGGTCACAAAACCTATCCAAACTCTACATCAAGTTCCAGCAGATCATGGATCAAAAGAAACTTTAACATCGTCAGAAGCTTTGTGGGTGTGTATGCATGATGCCATACTTTCCAATTACATAATGCAATTCCGAGTAGCAATACTTGTTTGAATTTTAAAATATTTTGGAAGCAGAAAAGATAATGGAAAAACCGTTTTTCTTTTAACAACTAGTCAAGAAGACAATTAATTTATTGTTCTTGTACATTTTACATGACCAAGCATATTTACAAATTAAAGATAAATAAATGGATCAGCTTAAACAAAGATGCACATGATCTAAATTTTCCAGTAACATAGGGTTTAAAGAAATGAATATCAAACATTTCTACATATAACACCTACTGTCTGATTCTGAAAAAGCTTGAGAAGCCTCTCAGCATCATATTGTGGTGGAAGGCCTGGTAGATACAGATGTGGGTCATGTAGTCTGGGCTCCTCAAGCCAGAAACCTAATGTTTGGTAATACCTGACACATAAAAAAAAAACAACACCTTAAAAATGTGCAGTGTAAGAGGATCAATGCAACCAAAAGAAGTGTTACTTCTGAGATATTTAATTGTTCAAATCAATTAGTTAAAGGCATATCATATCATGTTTGTTTGACCCTTACATGATGAAAAAAAATCCAGGAAATTAGTGCAACATGCCCTAAATCACAAGGTATATTATATGCACAACTGTTCGCAGAATAATTATCTATCAACAGGCTTTTGGGTTCTAAGTCCTTACATTCATAACTTTACAAGATTCTATCTCTATCATGAGTGTGACCAAAAAGAAACCACTAGTAAAGCCAAGATTACATTGCCATGGACGGTGACGAAGAAATTTTTTTACATTCTAAGGGGCTATGGGCTACGGCAAGTCATGTGCACATAACATATGGTCACTGTGCCAAGTCAGGTCATGAAAGATTGGTTTGTCCATTGAAAAGTGATCATATGAAGCCCATTTAACCACTGTGCAGTTGACATACAGTGTCCATGCAGCAGCATTGCTATTTGATACGTTGTCGGTGGCAGCTGTGCAGTTTTAACTACTCGCATGATAATAACAAGGAGATGCACATCTTCAAGCTAAAAAATGTTCAGTACATTTTACTATTACTATGCCTCCTAAAACCAACAAAGAGAAGAAGGGAAAGAGAAGTAATAAACAGCATCAGGAGGTTCATCTAGAGGGATCAGTAGAGGGATCGGTATCTAGAGGGAGCCACTGAGGCAGATGAAGATCAATACATTGATGAAACTGAGGGATCCATGAATGACACTATAATACAACTGCCCTTATTTCTACAATATATCACACAAAAAATGAGCAAACAAAAAACTGAATGAAGCTGAGGTTAAAGCATTTGGTGAAAGCATTGGCTGGTCCTGTAAGCATTTTTATGAACTTAAATTGAAACCTTTTTGTCATGATTTCAATATTTCATTATGCCACCTTTTACCGCTACTTAAAATTTAAACTGTTTACAATAGATCTGATCAATGATAAAAATTATTTGTAAAATCTTCCTATATATATTAAGATATATTTCAGTCCTTCATTTTCTCTACAGTTAATAATGTATTGTTTGATATACGTAAGCATAAATATCTTATTATCACTGATGATCACACGTAGTAATCTAGGCTTTACCTGACTAGGCTTTGGTGAAATTCTCTGCTTTTCTGGTAGCCGACATTATGTAACAAAAGATTCTCCTCCTCTTCCTCCTCTGCCTCACCATCTCTACCAGATCTCTCTTCATCTGCTTGAAATGGTGACAAAAAACACTCGTGAAGTTAGAGACATAATTTTGGAACTCCCAATTCTTAGTACAGAATTGTTAAAATAATTGGTAATTAATAAGTTTTAGAGATCAAACCATGAAGAAAATTCCATTACCGTAAGACCTAATTCAGTCCTTAGAATAGAAAACAAAAGAACAATGCAAAACTAGAGGATCAGAGAGGCGATACCGCCTCCGGATATTGTACCACCAGCTGGAGTAAGAGCATTCGAATGGAAACCCCCCCAAAAAGGGACACCACAACCAGTCTTGTCCTTGACAAGCTCTATGGAATAAACAAGAATTCTCAAAGTATGAAAAAAAAATCGAAAAAAATATAACATAAAAATGGTTCAATCAAGCGGATTTTCCAATTGGCCTGTATTTTCCTAACATTGATCACTCCTGTGATTTTCTGGACAATAGGGCTATTGCTTTTCCTTGAAATGAGTTATCAGTGTTGCATATATGCTGAGAAAAGAGAAAACCTAGGGGCAACACTGGGCATATCTCTGCTTGTTTTGAAGATGTGAGGGGCACAAAAATATGCAAAGTTCAGTTCATGATGAAAAAGTAGGTCAATTTCAAGGTCACAGTACATGACTTTCTATTCAAGTTCAATAGTAACTATGGGCATTTCCTTGCCAATTTTGGAAATGTAAAGGTCAGAAAACATGCAAAGTACAGTTCATCATAAAAAGTAGGTCAAAGGTCAATTTCAAGGTCACAGTTAGATTGCCAGTATATGACTTCCCACTCAAGTTCAACAGTAACTATGGATGTACCTCTGCCAGTTTTAGAGATATAAGGGCTGGAAAATTTGAAAGTTCAGTTCATGGTGAAAATTAGGTCAGATGTCAATTTCAGGATCACAGTTAGATTGCCATTATATGACTTCCTATTCAAGTTCAATAGTAACTATGGGCGTATCTTTGCCAGTTTTGGAGATATAAAGATCAGAAAACTTGCAAAGTGCATTTCATCATGAAAAGTAGGTCAAAGGTCAATTTCAAGGTCACAGTTATATTACCAGTATATGACTTCCTATTCAAGTTCAAAAGTAACTATGGGCATATCTCTGCTAATTTTTGAGTATTTCACATTTTATTTTCACCACTGAATTTAGGATGTTGAACTTTTTGATATAGTGCAATGCCTTAGCCGTATTGAAAACAAAAAAATAGACACCACCCCCCAGTGTTGCCCTTGACAAGTTCTACAAAATGCATAAAACAAGAGGTCTCTAGCATTAACAGTACCAGAATTAGAGAGAGTTTTCAGTTTCGACATCTAATAGCTGCTGCTACCATGAAAATGCACCGATTGACCCCAAACTCACGAAAATGAAAGATGACCCTAAGGGTAACACCTGCCCATAATATTATAGGTAAGATCTGTTTAGTTTCTGAAAATTGGCTGAAATAAAAATTTTCTTGCAAAAATTTCCAATTTTTAGAAAATTTTGGCCCATTTGACCTTGAAATAAAGGTCAAAGGTCAAATCCAAGGGCATATTTGAAATCCTCACATATGACTTTCGGTCAGCCATCTGTAGAAATTTTTCCCATAATTCCATTGGTTTGGGAGATATTTAGCATTGAATTTTCAAAAATTTTGACAAGGGTGCGTTTCAACGAGCGTCACGCCCAGGTCAATGCACCAACTGAGACAAAAAAACCTGGGTGTTCAAGTTGAGATTATATGTGACCTAAATCCAAGAGATGGGGACACAGGTCCTTGCGGTCTAGGAGGAGAAGCGGTAACGGTGACTTGTATCCCACGTCATCCTGCGGAGCCGCAGGAGCCGGCGGAGCCGGCGGAGCTGTACGAGACGGGTCGGGACTAAAACCATGAGTACCGCCAGCGTACACGCTGGTGGTACTAATGAACAAACCCAAACAAGTGTGCTACTTTTCTTTTTTAAAAAATAATACAATAAAAAAGAACAAGTACCTGTCCTCCTGGTGCCAGTATCAATGTCTGCAGTCTCCAGACTTTGTTCCTGTAGAACTTTGTGGTGGTGTTCTGTGGCCTCATTCAGCCTCTTCTTCATTCTTTTCAACAAGGAGGTGTTGACTGAACTTTCAAAGAACTTGTGGCCTATACCTCCTCTCTCTGGTAACCTGATCAACAGTCCACAATACAACCTTAAAAATCTTCAAAGTTACAATGACATTGTCTTCAAACAACAGCTTAAACCAGATTAAGATATTTGCATTCCAATATTTATAAAATATCTCAAAGACACCTTCATCATGAATGGTAATGAATGAGGCTATTTGGTTCTGTAGTCCCAAAGGAGACATTGAATTATTGGAGTCATTGTGGTACATGTAATAATTCTGATTTCTTAATGTTGTCTGAAGATATTATTATTATTATTATTTTTTTTTTTTTGTTGTTGTTGTTGTTGTAACTTTAACTGTATATAACATAGCTTAAGAAATGTTTTGCAGGAAGAAATGATTCTCCCAAAATGTAAACATTGCACTTTAAACTCTTGCTGATAAATTAAGCTGTATAATTTATCTCTAAAACAAATTTGGCCAGTTTGAATAATTATCAATAATTCTTAATATACTAGGCTAAATAGGGGTCCCTGTGAAAATGGGAGACAGACTTCTCCCCCAATGAAAACGTACCCTGGAGTATGAGCTGGTCTGCCCAGGTAAAGCTGGAAGAATCTCTGCCAGAGCAGTGGTAGTAAAGGATGGTCCACTGCAGTGTCCAGTGCCTGCTGACCCCAGCGATAGATGCACAGTCTGGATGCAGGTAGACTGCCTTCTATCTTTAAGTTGATTATGGCTTTCTACAACCAAAGAACATATGAATATAGAAGCATACTCTTTCCATGCAAAAAAATTCAGATTTAAGAGTTAAATGTTAACGCTCTGAAAGACATTTAGTTCTTAAAGTATATCAGGTAAGTTCCAAATTTGAATTGGCACTGCATAGTCAACTTCATCTAAGAAGAGAGAATCCCTCCCCTTACAGACTCCAAAGAGTGACAATGTATCCAATTGTTTAGCATGAATAAAATGCAGATACCAGTTGCAAATTTTGGTAATTATTTAAATCTAAAAATAGAAAAAAATTTCATCATAACACATATCACTCAATCACCCTTAATTATGAACCCACCTTGACTGCCTGATCCACAGTCAGTTTAGGCTTAGTGATGAGTTCTATTTGCACCACCTGCCATAGATAAGAGTCATGCTGGTACTGCTCCTCTGCATGGAGGAGGTGGTATGCCAGCCAGGGAAACTCGGGCAGAGATGCACCCTCCAGGAAGGTAGGGATGGCAGCACTGCCCGTGGCTATCCAACTGACCAGGGATGACACCATACTGTGACCGCCTTGACTCTTAATGAACAACTGCAATGATATTTGGAAACTTCACTGTTGTGTTGATGAGGGTTGTAAGGTTGTAACCGAATGCTCTTATAAAAGAGCAAAGATGTTCATTGGCTTGGTAGTTGGATCATAAATGATAATTATCAAACACAAGCTGAAATATTTTCATACCGTTAGCTTACGGCCAACCTGGTCTGATGAAGGCCTTCCCCCAGGTTTGCCGTAAGCTAACAATATAAAAATATTTCGGCTTGTGTTTGATAGTTTTCATTTATGCTCTTATAAAAGCTTTGACAATTTTTCATTCTACTCAAATATTCTGAAATTTACTTATTACAACATTAAACTAGAAAAGCACTCAGAGAATGCAGACCTCCGCCAAGGCAGCAAAGTCTCCATCCAATGCCGTTTCACCCCTAAATTTTCGATATTTTTGATTAAAGTGGTTATTGATCCAGATCACCACCAAAAACTAATCATCTTTTCCTTGGCCCACTTCTGACAGTTCCTGAAAATTTCATCAAAATTGGTCCATAACTTAGTTTTTTTATTTTTGATTATTGATTGATTATTGATCTGGATCACCACCAAAATCTAATCACTTCTAAGTTAACCCATGTCTGACCTACCCTGAAAATTCCATCGAAATTCATCCATAACTTTTTGATGTTGATGACAAACAAACAAACAAACAGGGGTGAAAACATAACCTTGGCAGAGGTAAAGATCAAATGAACAATCGTTTTAGAATTAGAGAGGAATGACTTTGATCTATTTGCGAGAAACTGACAGCATTTCAATCTGTTTGCATACAGAAGATCAAAGTAATAAAATACACCGATTTCAATTAATTTAAACTAGAGAATAACAGAATGGTTTACCTTGTACTGATTATACATCAGAGTCTCAATCACTTCCTTTCCACCTTTACAGCTATGTCCTGACTTTATGAGAAAATTGATCAGATATTGCACATTCCTGAAAGAGATAAAACACTCAGGTTTGACAAATAAGAAGGCATTATTAAAGTGCCGATCTATACTCTCAATCTTTCAAACTTCTCCATCAAACCATATGTAAATCCTAATTAAACGTTTTATGTTTTATGAAAAAGGAAAACTGCCACACAAGGCTCTTACAGAGGATTGCTGAAGCACCTGGCATTAAATAAGAACTAAAATCATATCTTGTACAGGAGTAAAAGTAGGTCACCTGTCTTGGTACCAAACAGTGTTCTGTGTGAGCATGTTCATCCAAAGCTCTATCACCATTGGTGGAGAATAGGGCAACATGGCTGAGGCACCATTAATCTGGGTCTGGTAAAAATAGTTTTTTTTAGCTCCACCCTCCCAAAAAATAATATATAATTAAAAATAATTGAATTTTTATGACTTGTACAACTAATGTTGTAAGTGGTATTCTCATTTTCAAGTGATATGTTGTGATAGCTTTTGCCCTTATGTCAAAACCAGAACCTAAATAAAACATACAGTTGTTTTTATATATTCCATTTAATGCTTCACGCTATCTAGACTGCAGCTTCACAGTGAAATATTACGTACTCAAGATTGCAAACATTTTTAGCAATGAATCACTAAAAATATCACAACCAAACATTTCAGCTAGTTAGGTGAAGAATGTAACCCCTATAAGCCCGAATTTAACGGCCAACATCAACCAGTTTCTTCCCTTTCAATTTTCCATTATGTCCACCATATTCAAACTTCAATGACAGTTGAGCACAATCCAGTCTGCTAATCACAAATGATATATACTATGTCACATGGTCTTCTACAGGTTCAAGAAATAATGATAACTGTGATAAGTTTGCACCAATGCAAAATGAATAAGCTAGCATGCGCTGGACCTGAACATCTGGATTAACCCTTATCAACAATGTTATTACCATGTTAGAAAATGTAAACCCAGCATGCAAAGCCTCTGGCAGATAAAAACCTTTACCTGTATCATACAAGCCAGCATTTTGACAATCTCCCCTGGGAAGTCAGAGTACAGCAGGCTTTTGGCCATTTTAGCATAGGTCTGGTCTGCAGACAGCAGGGAATGCAGTATGGTCTGGAACCTGGAACATTACCAAAGCATTTAGTCTATATCTGATGAGGTTAAAAAATATTTTCTACAAATGAAAATGAAATAATAGTCTATCTTTATCTTTTAAAACTCTAAGACTGCTAAAGCTGTGACTAAAATGAAACCTTGGCTGAAGGGGCAAGTTTTAGCTTCAGTTTTATATAATTAATAAAATAAGGACTAAATTTACATACAGTTTGAAAATTGTGGATAAAAAGATAATTAAAGTTGTTTTCAAATCTGAAAATATTAAAATAGCAATAAATCCTTTCAATTATATATCCATAACAATTTCTTATGAAAAATAAATAATTCACTTACAGTTCACTTTTGATCAATGGCTGTGGACTGTCATAAAAAAGAGGCACAATCACATATAGCACTTGGATGACTGCAGTGGAATGGTGCTGCTGTACCAGGCACTGCAGTCTGGGGAGACCTGCTGACAAAAATTCTGATACACTGGAAAAACAACAATATTTGTGATTTCAATTTATAGTACAAAAAACAATGTTTCCAAGATGTAGTAAATAGTGAATTAATTTTAATTTTAGAGTCACTTTTAAAAACAAATTTGCCTCTTATTTCATTCTGATTAAAAATATTATATTCATATCCTTGTAGACGAGCACATTTATAACATCTGCTGCCCTTTACTTCTGGTCAAATCTTACCTATGTCCAATTTTTGTCATCACAGTGGCAACATAGCATGCAAGAGCACCATTGTTGTCAGTCATCTTGGAGATCACCAACATAACTGGGTCAAATAAGTCACATGGGTCAAATCCCTGGTCCTCATTGGCTCCCATCACTGGTCTGGGCTGTTGATGTTTGTGGAGACGCAGTTTCAATATGGTGTCCCATGCCCAGTCATGAAACTGCTGCTGGGATGTTTTCTGTTGGCTAACAACAGAAGCCACCTAAAAGGTAAAACATCTTAATTTTTTAGGCATCGACACAGTTATATCCAAACAATGATAAACGTACCTTTGGTCCATTTTGACACCATTTCTTAACATAATTAATCCAAATTCTGAATTTATGAAACATCTTTTATTGCTATTGCAAATTTAATGTTAGTAAGATTATTTTGTCAACCTAATTTTTATGAAAAATATGAAAAATAATTTTTTTCTTTTCTCCTGTTTGTTTGCCAAAACAAATTAAGTACATATTTAGTATATATTAAGGATATTATCGTTCACCTGTTTGACTCCTTCTGTGATAACCCCACTCATCCCCTTTGCTGCCACTTGCTTCAGGTACGATTCTACTATCAAGATGGCAATCTTACGATGGAATGCTATGTCAAGGAACAATCGATCTTCCTGAAGAAAATTATTGGACATAAGAATGAGACATCAGGTACAAATGTGCTTTAAGTTATAAATGAATGGCATTTTATTTTGAATACCTTTCCTTATAATATATTCACACATTACTGAAGTCAATCATTTTTAAACTGAATTTTATTTTTCTAAGGTAGCTTAACAAGTGGAGTCTTAGAATTAGGAACTGGCTAAAATGACTATGTATGGCACTATTCTCTTTGTTTTGGTATTAAGAATTAATGAGCTATAGAAAAATATAGAAGTTATCTGCATCAAGGTCAACATTTGCATATCTACCTTACTAGGGTTTTACTGACCATACAAACAATAAAAGATACAATAATCTTTTCATATACATTAAATAGTTTATTTGATGGATTAACACACAAATGAGTTCAAAGAAGAGACACTATCTACCTGCTTGGTTAGACCATAATTGAGCCGGCTGAGTATGAGTCTCCCCAGCTGGTTTTCTGTGGAAACCAATGGCAAGTTCAACACCCAGTGGTGAATAGTCTCAAGATCTTCACTGGTAAGCTCCCATAAAAACAGTGGCAATTCACGGAACAGATACATGGACACCTGAAATGTCAGAGTAAATTGAAAATAAAAAATAGTTTTCACCAATTTTAAACAAGAGAAAATGAAAAACCTATTTCACTCCATTACAATAAGAATATGTCACTAACTGTTTATCCACTTCTACTGAAACAAGATTTCATTTAATTGCTTAAAATGATCAATTAAAACTAACTGATATGTTCAAAATGTACTAGCATTCTATCATCTGCTTTGTCTGCCAAAACACAGATTCTTAAGTCATATTTTCATACTGTGCCTACTGATAAACAAGTAGAGGCCAGTCCAAAGGGAGCTTCAAGAGCAGGACCCAGTGAAAGGAAATAAGGTTCTGGGTCATATTCTTCATAGTTCACAAGGGACTGTGCTCTTTTTGATATTGTGAACATTCAGAACATGCTGATCTGTAGGACAGATTGCCCTTGCAATCAAACCTTGGAGCTGAGATTTAATCCGTTAAATGGCACATGTGGAGGCAGGGAGACCATCAGGAGATTAAATAATGCTGCTCTTAAATGGGGCTAGCCATATTTGGTCGGCGGATCAGTAAGTCCACAGATCATCTGTTCTGACTGCGCTTACTGAAAAATCGCCGTGCTTTCATTTTTATGCAAATCCAAATATGCATGCATTTTATTGGAAAATGTTACTGTTAAGCTGTCACAGTAAAAAAAATTGAATGATGCATTTGTTTACCACAACCAAAAGTAAATAACAACATATACCAAGGTGCAGTAATTGTTATCACACTAGTAGTAGCAAGTATTCCCATTTTAAATCTTCTACAACATCAAGCTTGGCATCTTTTTGTTAGAATCAAAAGAAAATAAAAATGGCACATACAGGTGAAGTAGGGACCATTCCATTGCTATAAATACAACAACCACAAAAAAGATTTGCCAACAGTCATGATGAGTATGTCTTTTCCTCTGACATTTCATTGAAATCAGATTTAGTATGAGAAAACAAATTCTTTTTTTTTTTAATTAGAGAACAAAAAAAAAAAAAAAATTAAGAAAAGTGCTCAAAAAGCAAATAAATACATTTGATTAGAAACATTTCTGAAGCCATCAAGACCCACTGTTAAAAAGAGAAAAACATTGATACACAATTGACCAGTGCAAAAAGAAACATTAAAAGGATATATGCCCCAAAACCACCCCTACAGAAAATGTACCGTGAACAATTTTGTTTTGTGGTCAGAGAGCTGAAAGCAAAATAATTGAAACCAACTCAAAATAAATACTAGTTTTTTAGTCAAATGTAAGGGATGTCAAACCAAATAAAAGTTGTAAGGGGATACATTCAAGGTCCTTTCCTTGTGTGACTGATTAAAAGATCATTTAACTGAACATAGGGCTTTCTACCTCCCAAAGGTAGAACATATAACTAATTTTTGTTTTGCAAAATAAAACCGACTTGGATAAATATGGGAGTAAATTCAACAACATATTCCTAATTTTTAAGCATGTCTAATACAACACAACATAGACATTTGTGCAAAAGAAGAAAATCAACAAAATACTATAAGCATACTTTTTTGATAATTAATACCTGTATAAAGTTTTCATGTTCCAGTGGAAACTTCAAAGGTATAATGATCATGTTTATATTTCATCATTTACAGAAGTATTATCAATTATTATTATTATTTTGAATCAAAGGTACTTGACAATAAGTAATGTTAATTTTATTTCTTATATCACAGAAAAATACCACCCAGCTGCAATTCTACATATGGTGTAAAGAATATTATTCTCCTATCACACCATACCAGTTGAAAAAGTTGATGATGTCCAAGCCAAAATACTCAGAGGAAATAAACCTTTCTTTTATTTACAGAGGTAACTGAAGTTGAACACTGAACTCTATCAAGGCTACCAAGAACCAGTACATAACTTTTAAAACTTGACATTAATATCCAACTGCAGTGGCAATGCGTACATCTACTCTTGTCGTCAGCTTTAAACAAGCCAGCAATAGCTGACAAATGTACACCTAAATCAGCTTACACATTAAGACTAATAAAATAATACAATACTATTCAAACTCTGGGAATAAACAGATCCTGTCCATTTTTAAACCCGACCTGCATTAGAAAGCAGTGAGTAATCACCATAAGTTTGAAGCAAAATGACTGCGACTTCCGAGAAATGTCAATGAATTAAGGTCCAGCTACATGTGACTAGGAGAGAATCAGGTTATGGCAATACGTATAGTAAGGAGTAGTACGCTATACTTAAAATAACAGATAGCAGACAGTTATCAGGCCTGACTTACCATTCCAATTGTGTCAAGATGTTGCTGTATTAGCCGCAGCAGAGTAGAAATAACACATGGATGTGACGTGGCCAGTGTGGCCAGGAGCTGCCGGCCTGTCTTGGCGCAGAATTCTCTGGTATGAGTGCTCACATAGGATATCTACAAAAAATATGTATCGTAAATACTATCAAAAAAGCTTAAGAGATGAAAAACAAAAACAGAGATATGAATCTTTTGCATATGCATATGCATATGCAAAGTAAATCTTGGGTACCATTCCAAAGGATCAACATGTATTTCAATTTTAAGGTAAAATGCAATCAGAATCCTTTAAATACAATATGTCCAAAAACCCAACCTCAAACATTTCCTCTGTGATGGCATTGACAAACTCTATGTCCTCTGGAGGCCTGGACCTGGCCATGTTGGTGAATGCTGTCAACAAGTAGGTGGCCTCTGAGAGAGGCATTGCCAGCAGTTTCTCCTCAAAAGCGAGTTTGCTGTCAGGATCTGTAAAATTCAGGATTTCAATCTACAAATTAAACCAGTTTTCACTTTGTCAATGTCTTACATGCATTGTGTAAATGTTGAAGAAATCTGTAGTTCTTTACACTGATTTGTGATTTTGCGCTCTTCTACTGCCAGTCTAGATACTGTCAGCAGCATCACAAAAATAATTTCTAAAATCACATCACAAAAATAATTTCTAAAATCACATATATTGAACATGATAATTACACCACCTTTCATTTTCTGCTTGCAAATCTCTACTGAAAATTGCACTGTTTCCCCTGCATCAACAAAATGTAGTAACCATAGTAACTTCCACATCATCTCCATGGAAACACTGCCATATGGCATATCAGCCATGAATTGCCAAGACCCAAGCCTGAAAAAAAATCAAAAAGTAAAAAGAACTTTCAATTAGTAAGAAATGACAAGTTATAAAAAACTATTTCCTTGTTCTTGTCTTATATTTGAATTTATTAAAAACCTTTATTTACCATCAAATTATCTATATTACAACATTTGTTCATTCAATAACTGAACCCCTACTTTTTTTAAGTATTATAACTGCCATATTGCAACCAATGAATATACCAAGACTAAGGCTCAGCTCTACCTGGGAATTTTGAAAATCTGTGTGTACAATTTTAAAAGGTCTGGTTATACCCCTGCATATTTCCAGCAAAGCATACAAGTTGATTATTTAGAATCTGCATAATGTACCACCACATTGGAAAAACATGGGATCCATACTCACTTCTGTGCAGAAAGGATGCAGTCAGTTGCCCTCATGAAAACATGATCAAGTTCAAGCTGCAGCCTTTGCTTTGACTGCTCTGGGAGATGCGAAAATGCGCTTTTGAAGTTCATCCAATGGTCAGACACAAACTGAATGGTATGCCTTAATTACGAAATTGAGGAATATCCTTTAAAAATCATGTATACAATATTTGTTTTGTCAGCAAACACAGTTCACCTAAGTTCAATCAATCTGTAAACAATGAATAAAAGATGAATAGTCAACTAAGGCAATTTATTGTCTCTATTTAACAACAATGAACAGCAACAACAAAAAAGATAAACATACTTATTTTAATATTTTCATCATGCACAGTTTCATATAATGCTTTATATAATGCCAAACCTAGACATGACCTTTATATTAACTCGAACACAAAACAATGGCATCTACCTGACCAATCTTCCAATTCTCTTGTTAAACTGCCTGTATCTTCCTAGTTTGAAAGTCTGCAAACCTTGTCCTAAAATCTTCATGAGACTAGTGGCAAAGGCAAACAACCTGAGCATGGACTGCTCTGAACTTTTATGTATAAAATAAAGATCTTGTCCTAAAATGATAAATATATAATGACTTGCTCTATATGCCAGCCTTTATCTAAAAGCAACACTTATTTCAATCATAAACATTCTTCATATATACTGTTTTTTCTCATCTATTCAAACATGCCAGTCAAAGCTTTATTATTCTTTTATCATATCTTTAAATTAAAATTTATATTCTTTTACATAATCATAATGGCACAAATTTAATATGAGTATGTCCTGACCTTCTTCATCTGTCTCTATAAGTAAAGCATGCCTGAACACGGCATCTAATGGAAACTGATGCAGCAGAGCCACCACATCATTCTCCTGCAAGTACTGCCAGCTGTTGGCTGGGTCTTCATCCTTCAAAAATACAATACTCTTGCTACTTACTGTTTCCAAAACAAACAGAACTAATTTTAATTACTTAAAAGTAATCTGTTGCTATAATATTTTTTCTTTCTATTTTTAAATTTTCTTCCATGATATATTTTTGTCACAAGACAACTGTAGGACATAATACTTGTTCCCTGGTAACAATACTACTTATACTTTATGTCCACCTACTTATATGTCTACTTTTGTCTGTGTATTTGTTGTGGATAAACCAATTTGAAAAAGTAGGTCTTTGTTTGAGAAATGAGTGTGTTCTGTTCCTGCTATAATATGATATGAAGAAACTTAATGCTGTTAACCAGAAATCATGCAAATTGTGTGGACTCCTAATATTTTTCTGGAAATATAACTCATCTGATGAAACTGCTCAATATTCACAATTAATACATATACACTGGTACACATTTTCTTGCAGTGTTGCACCACACAAGCTCACTATTCTAAAGCAAATGGTTCATATTGTTTGGTACCTCCTCTCCATCTGAGTCTACCAGCACCCAGGGGTTGTCCACCCCATTGTCTGCTGAGGGGGTCAAGGACACATTCATATGACTGAGAAAGTCAGTCCTGGCCCTAGGAAAGAAAAACAATACAATAACTAGAAAAGCACTCAGAAAGTGCAAACCTATGTCAAAATAAATAATTGACTAATAATTAATTAATTAATTAATTAATTAATGGGTCATCACCAAAATCTTATCACTTGTAGGTTAGCCTGTTTCACAACAACAATACAATACACAACTAGAAAAGCTCTCAGAGAGTGCAGACCTCTCCCAAAACAAATAATTAACCCATAATTAATTCATGGATCATCACCAAAATCTTATCACCTTCAAGTTAGCCCGTTTTTGACCTATCCTGAAATTTTTATCAAAATCCATACCAAACTTTTTGAGTTAAGCTGGTGATTAACAGATAAACAGAGATAAAAACACAACATTCTAATACCTCCCATTATCCAGAGATAATAATATGCTAAAGTACTGAATAGCATCATTTTAACATGATGATAATAAAGGAATTTACTTGATAGCAACTTACAAGCACCAAAATACATTTCACATTTTTATAAAATGTGTATCACTACCAGAAGAACATATAGTTAACATATCATTGGATAGCATTTAATTGGTGATGTTACTCCCCAACAAAATTGTAACAGTTAATTATCATTAAACAGTGCACAACAACAGTGCACAATACCACAGGCTGTACATACTTCACAGGCAACATCAAGGTGGCCAGCATGGCTATGAAGTTGTCCAGCAAGGGTCCTCCAAGGGAGCTCTGCCCCCTGGACAATCTGGGCTGGACAAGCTGGATATAATTACTGGCCCACTTGCCCACACCTGCTGGGCAGCGCAGCACATGATTTAATATAAACCAGTGGTCTTCCAATGTGGCTATCCTCAGTAAACTTGCCACCTAATAATGTAAAGATAGAAAGCTATAAAAACAATGTATGTAGCAATTTGCTAACATTTTCAACTGACAGTGTCTGTACATGTACATTAAAAGAAGTTCTCAACACAATTAATACAGTTTTTATATTTTATATCTTATTCAATGAAGTGTGTCTATCAACAAACAGAGACAAATTCAGTTTGGACAAAATGATAAAAAAATCCAGAACAAGGACTATACCAATCTTGTGAGCCACATTCTAGCATCCTGAGTGAACTGCTCATCTTTCACAGGTCTTCTTTGGAATAGAAAAAGAATACTTATGCACTTCTTCAACATTGACATTTGCTGATCTGCTTGTGGACTCCTTTGCTCTGGCAAAAAAGCTACAACAAAAGCATAAATATTGAGTTTGTTGTATATGCTCAATAAATTCCTTTACATAAAAAAGTTTCTTTGGATATTCAAACAGTCATGTTGAAGAATAGTCACAAAGATTATGTTCACTAATTTAATTTTATAAATCACAAATGCGTAAACAAACCCCAGTATAACCAAACTATGCATTTTACAGAAATATAATTTACCTTATATTTTGCATAAACAGTGATTACAAGGACTAGAAACTGCTAACACGAAGAATATATATTTTAAGCAGCATTCAAGACATGAAACTATGTAAAAAATCTTACATTCTATAACATAGCTTTACCTTGAACTGGTGCATTTCTGGGAATTTCTTGTAGAAAGGGGCAATTTATGTAAAGTTGATGAATGTAGGACTCAACTTGAAGCCTGAGGGGAAAATACACCAATCAATTTCATTGTAAGAATGAACATCAAGGTAGATATTTATGTAAAAATGACTAAGTATTAACCTAATAACAAACAGAATGGAAACTATCCACATTATTCATGCATGCATCACATGCAACACAATTAACTTAACTGAAAGAAACAACAGGCATGTCAATCTGACTTATTGTTTGTAACAACCTGATTATCAATATCATATCACCATGGTTACTGTAATAAAAAAATTAATTAATAGTGATAATCCGATCTTAGTTTCAGTTAATCAAATAGACATGCCTTTAGTACTTTTACCAACCTAGAAAGCTGAGCTGAATATGCATGCAATGCCAAGGAGTCATATAATGCTGTCCTAATGCTGCTTAGAGATTTATTAATATCCCCTGCAACCTTGTCATCAAATGTCACTTGTAAATACTGGTGATTTTCTGACACACTGACTTTGTCCAAACAGGTGCCCTGGATAAAAAAAAAAACAATGTTATTATTTTTAGGTAAAAAAAAAACAGTAATGATTTCATGGTATTATTCTAAATATCTTCGGATATTTTGAACAGCTTGGTTCAGTTTAACACACCATTTGAAATCACTGTAGAAAAAAGGCAATGAATAAGAGAGGAATATTCTTTAAAGGGTGAAGGTACTCCTGAATGTTTGAAAACAAAGTTGTCATTTGGAACATTCCTAAGAATGAAAAATGTTTCTTTGGGCTTAAGAGTGCGACTGATTTTTCTTTCTGGGATATGTAGATCTTTCTCTAAATTTTATCAAAAACATGAAAAAAACCCTAAAAATTTTTCTGAACAAAAAGCACTTTTTTCTTACTTGAGCTGTTGCGATGTGCTCTGATGTCACCCACACCATTTCTTCCTGCCTTTTGAATTCTTTTTGTAAGCCACTTAACTCTCCTTCACCATTGACATAATTGACACGGGCCCTGTAGTAGTTCATCAACAGTTCATAAAACTCATGTTTGTCCTGCTGTGCTTGCTGAAAATGACGATAACTATATTAAGAAAACATATACTGTTATATTTTCAATTCATCTAATGAAATTGTTAGCTGGTAATAATGAATACATTAAGAAGACCAATCACTGCAGTAAAAAACAAGTCAAAGGTCCATACCTAAAAAAAAAAAAACCCAGGCCGATTGTATTGGTCTTGGTTTGCAAAATGTTGGGAGATGAAGATAAAGAGGACAATTTCTACAACCCATAGATCTGTTTGGCTAACAACACCATCAAATAGTTGCCATACATAAAGAATCACAATTTATTTTTATGAACCTTAATTCCTAGAGTCAAAATTAGAGACTTCACTGAGAGAGCAATATTTACATTTATGCCATCTTTTACCTGTAAGAAGTCATCCACAAACACTTGCTGATGTTCTAAAAGCGGGTTGTAATACAGTGACTTCAGCTGCTCATCTGAAAATGGTCTGAGGATTATATCAGGACTAAGTAACTCTTTCAACTGAGGATAAATCTTCCTGTGGACAACTTTACTTTTTCTTTTGGTAGGTTCTTCTACTGAGACAGAAGTTTTCGCACTTTGTTCAACTGACTTCACTTGTGTTGCATTTGTTGATTTAACCTTTGTTTCTTCCTGTTCTTCAACCATGCCTTGTGATATGCTTTTAGTAGCACTGACCAGTTCCTCAGTTGCATTTGAAGTGTTTTCTTGTTTTTGATTTTCTAATGTTGTTCCTTCTTCAGGTGTGGCATGGTTAACAGAATCCTCCTCAAGTATTTTGAAGGACTGATCTTTATTGGTAGATTCAGTATTGTCATTGTCTACTGGTAAACTTTCTTCTTCTTTTTTATGCTGTTTTTCACCAGAGCGACTTTCAGATGAGCTATTTTCTAAATGCACATCTGGTGGCAAATTTTCATTTAAAACTTCAGTATCAACAGGTGTGTTGATGACTGATGCCAGCTTTCCTTCACTTTCCTCTGGAACGTCAATGTTTTTTCTACTTGATTCTTTTTCCTCATTTTGCAAAGGGCTGTCAATTTCTGTTGACTTATCACTTCCAGGTTCAGGACTCAGTTTGTCTTTCTGAACTACTTGCTGTCCACTTAGTTCTTCCACTTTTTCATCCTCCTCTCCAATGTTGTCACCTGGTTCAGTACTTTTGGTTTTCTTGCCTTTGCTTTTAACCTGGAATAATAAACATTTTACAAATCAAACAAGTTTCAGCTTTCCTCAACCTTATCAGTAAAACATGAACGTGTATCTTGGCTTCTACAACAACAGGACCCTAAATTTTCTATTCTTTAATAATCCAAGTTTCATATTCCCCTTTGAGAAATCATCTGCTGGCCAAGTTATGCTTCCCACAGGCTTGTTTACTTCGCCTGTCCTATCTATACTTCTAGCAAAATAATTTTTTCTGCTTCATATTTGATTGGTCGGCGAATAGCTATAAAGCTAATGTTTCCTTTCAATTTATACCCGACATGAAATAAAATTTATTGTATTGTATTGTATTGTATTGTATTGTATTGTATTGTATTGTAATGTATTGTATTGTATTGTATTGTAATGTATTGTATTGTAATGTATTGTATTGTATTGTATTGTATTGTAATGTATTGTATTGTATTGTATTGTATTGTAATCTATTGTATTGTATTGTATTGTATTGTATTGTATTGTAATGTATTGTATTGGTCAGGTAGGAACCATGGAGAGTCTGCAAAAATCATCTCTCATCTAGGCTAATACACCATCTCAAGATTGGAGTTTAAGACTGTTAATACAAGTAGCATACTATGTACCATGTATACATGTAAATACTCTGTACAGCCCCACCCCTACCCCAACTCACCCCCTCAACCCCCACCCCCGACTCCCTTATTACAGTTAACATTTAACAATACACTAGTGTACAAACTTGTACTGTACATGCACATCGTACAATGTCGGCACATTAAACACATAGCAAAACTGAGTCTATGCGTGTCCCAAACTGATGGAATTTGGACTCTTTCAATGAAACATTTTCAAATATTGTAGAGCATACACGCACAGTTTAGGAATACATGGCATGATGCCATACACAGCAATTTGCAATATCTACGGTCAGCTGACTAAGAGTCAAAATAGTTATCTAAAACGAAAATTACTTCTAAGACTTCTCGTTCTTAAAATGCAAATGGAACATCATGACTGCAAATCCCAAAACGAAATCGGGATCACAAATATTCAAACGTACATACAGAATGAAAACAATTTGAATATTTCACCTTTGATTTTTTAGGTTTCCTCTCTTTCACTGCTTCCGCCATCTTGTATGTTTGGTCATGTGACAGGCACGTGACTTTAATGGGAAAGTGGGACACAATCTGAATGGGGAGGGGCACTTGTTCCAGATATGGCTCTCATCCCTTCCCCCCTAGTCCATCAGAAGCGTCTCAGTAGGCACTGTCTTATCCTTGAGAAATCAGGCAAAAAATTGACATATGTAATCGACAGAGATCGGCAACTTTGTCTGTCTTTGGTGCTGAATGTAACTTTTTTTCTTTTTTGTTAATTTACCCTTGTAAAGTCTACTGAAAATTTTATATGGATTTTAAACTTAAATATATGTACTCATTCTTAATATTATCAATATTATACATTTAGGTACATTTTAAATCTTAAATCTTACCCTACCAAAAAAAAAAAAAATGGAGAGAAAATTACAATCTAACATACACAGATACAGTAGACCTATAAACCTGCTTTCTAGTTTTAAATTTATCAGTCTCTGTCTCCATTTTGAGAGCGACTCAAATCCGAGTTTCAAACGGGTTTACGGGACGTAATTTTGTTCAGTTTTGTTAACGGTCTTCGATATGGAATATCTAACTAATTTAAGGGGGGAAATATTGGAATCCCTTGGAAAGTTAGTCTTGTTATTTAAATGGCGCGCATTTTGTACCATAATGAAACTTCTGAATTTATTGTTGCCGACAAAAAATATAAGAACATGCCAATATTCGATAATTATTTATAGATGCCCTGAAAATTGCTAGTCGTTTTGATTAAATTCATAAAACTGTTTAAGAAAAATTCCTTTTTAGTACAAAACTGGATTGTATGGCAAGACGTGATTTTACGCCAAGAACACCTAAATGATCGTGAATAATTATCCTTTTATACAAGCACAGGTTCCCTTTTCACTAAAACACTCGAAAGGGAACTCAAATCTTTAAACAACGACATGTACATTATCTTGGTTTTAAATATTTTGACTTATGAACAGTTTTCTGGTTTCTATTTTTTTCTCATCTCTTCGTCCTGGATCCCTCCGCGTTGACCTTTTTTTTTAATTTGATCAACGTGTATCACGTTTTCAATCTAAAGTCATAAAACAGTGAAAAAAGTGAAGATAACTGCATTGAAAATAAATAGGTCAATTGCCTGTATAAATCTGCCATACGATTATTGATTTTTTGTAAGTGTGGAACATTTTAGGGGGAGTCAGGTGAGAGAGGGTAGGCCTAATCAATAAGCCAAAAAATTTCTAAGGTCGCATGGAACTAGGTGCTACTAAAAAGCAGAGTATATATCAAACTCTTAGAAGGGCATAAAACTTACCCACTTCTCCAGTTTCACCTTGTAAAACTGAACAGACGTTATGGTACCTCTCTAATCCATCTACCTCTCCCTAAATGATAGCAGAAACGCTGGAAATGCGTAATACCATTACTGTACCAACCGTGGTGACAAAATATGAACCGCAAACAGGCGCAGATTATAACATGAATCTCGGTAGGAGGGGAAGTCCACTTAGGCTCTTTGTTTTATTATTATCATTATTATTATTATTATTATTATTATTATTATTATAATACTAAAATGTACAATGCGTCGGGGATCGTAACTAACTTTGGATCGAACTATCTCCGAGGGGATTCTCGTTTAATTTCGGCTTAGATGTCTGTCACGCCCACTGAAGCTGATAGGGGGTAATTAACTATCGTTTAGCAGCTTTAGCAGGCGTGCCATACATATAAGCCACTTAAGCTGAAAGCAATTTGGCGAGAAACCCCGTGGAGATGGACCGATCCTGTTAGATCGATCTAGGGATGGGAACCCAGTCCTAGACAACCGCCGTAGCTTAGGCTACAGCCGCGTAGGCTACAGTATACCAATTGCCTGATTTTCTCTAAATTATGCATTTTTATCAGTTATTTCTTTAGCCCGTACGGCTTTCAAAAGGCCAAAATAGAAAATAGCATAAGATAAAACAAAATTGAGACTATGACACATTGATGTACTGAGATTCAAAAGGAGAAAAAGAAAATGATTCTGTCATCTTGTAATTAAAGCAAATAAATCAGTTTTACATTTTTTAATGTGACTTCATTGTATTAAAACAATGTCTTTAGTATCATCTAAACACGTTAAAACAGCGACAAAAGGCATTATTTTGATAATCACCCCCAAACCTCCTTTACTCTGACCTCCGATGAAAATAATAAGGTACTAGGAAACAGACTTTCAACTTTTGCGGTGATGTCTTGGCTGCAGCTAGGCTAAAACCAACGAGGCACTTGTACTGTATGAAACAGCTCCTGGTTTATTTTATTTGTCGATATTATTCAGATTGGACCTAGATAAGACGAATGGTCAAAAAACCCTTGACAAGGAGCACCCTTCAACTGTTGTTTTGGACCAAACATGATTTTTCTCATCACATCAGTATATATATACAGGGTTACTACTTAATATGGAATATTTTTTATAATTGTTATTTTTGAGTGCTGATTAAATTTTTTTTGGCCTGATTCATCAAAAAAGTATATCACTGAGTGAGAAAAACATCCAGTCTTCTGTTGTGAGATATTTTGGTCAATAATATCAAATCTGACATAAGATGTCATTCAAAAGAAAAGAACACCCCCAGAAAACCATATCAACAGTTTGATGTCAGTATTAACTTTAAGCTAAGATAAGAAATGATAGCCTCCGGACAGTGATATGTAACACAGTCAAAGAAATCATTACAGTAAATCATGAAAAGTCATCAATAGCGGGTATGACCTCCAGCAGCCGCTTGGAGCGCCCTCATCCTACATGCCATACCCTGTGACAAGTTTTTTAGAGTTTGGATGGGGATATCATTCCACGCAGTGATATTTTCCTGTCGCATTTCATCACTATTTACCGGCCGATGACCATAGCTATTAATTCGCCGAGTTACTTCCGCCCATAGATTTTCAATTGGGTTCATTACTGGGGAGTTTGCAGGCCAGGGCAGTTGCTGAACCCATTGGTTTTGAAGAAAAACAGTGATTCTGCGAGCTCGATGTGGGGTTGCACAGTCGTCTTGGTACACAAAGTTGTTCCTGAAGATGACTCTTACAAATCGAAGCATTGTTTGCTGTAGAATGTCTCTGTAGGAACCCTGGTTGAGGTTGCCGCCTAGAAAAACCAACTGGTTCTGGGCACCGGCATGGAATGCGCCCCAAACAGAGACGTTACCACCCCCTGCATGCACCCTAGGTAGTACACAATCATCGTTTTATGCCTCTCGTACACGTCGGCGGACACGGATTCGACAGTCAACCCCCCAAATTCCATATCTGGCCTCATCACTGAAAACGACGTGATTCCAGTGTTTTGGCTGCAAACGCACGTGGTCCCCAGCCCATTGCAGACGTCGCTGTATATGACCTGCTGTTTACAGTGGTTTCCGTACTGGTCTTCGTGCAAAATAAACAGTTTGCTGTAATCTCTTGTTCACAAGGGACCTTGAAACGGGCGTTTGAAAGGCATTCTGCCACCCTTTTTTAGGACACTGGTTGTCTTTGTACGACCAGCACTGCGCACTCTAAGGAGAAGGTGATCCTATCTTCTTGGTGTGGTACGCGGACACCCTGGTGGAAGTATTGGAGTAGGTGCCCCTGTTGTGGCATTTGTTTGGAGGACTTTACTAACGGTTCCTGAAAAATGTTGAATTGTCTGGCAATGGCTGTCCGTTTCTAGACATTTTCTCTGAGAGCAAGAATCCCATAGTAAGCTGCGTTGCTTAGCTGTCGAACCATATCTTCTCTAAGGTACCTAACAATTTTCATAGCGATCTCTTTGTTGCTTCTCTAAATACACTCCAAAGATTGACCAAACCCATGCGTTTTTATACAAGATCAGAAATTGCCGAAAAGACCACCCCTCACATTTCTGACCACAGAACATGCAACTGCTTACATTAATTGTTTCGAAAGTTGCATGGTAATTAGGTAACACACCTGGCTACACATAAAGTGACACCTCAGTTTTGGATTTAAAAGAGTAAGAGAGAAAATAAATACTTTGTAGAAAATTTACTCGCCAAAAAATAATATTCCATATTAAGTAGTAACCCTGTATATAGGGCCTATATTTTTTTCTTTTTATCTAAATATGATTCGTATAAAATCTTTTTTATATGTTTTATTATTTTTTATCACATAAAAGTATGTGAATGTTTGTCCGATAATCTTCATGATCACTTGTCGCGTTGCAAATAAAGGGATAAAGTGATCAAAGATTTTATTTGTTCTTGGAAAGTTCATTAAATAAATATTTTCACACTGCCACCATTTCAAATTAATAGCAATTTTATTAATTTATATATGTATTAATTTATTTATTCATATGTCGGCTAAGGTTATTAATCACCATATGGATCGGATAAAGCAAAGTTTTATTCTTAATATCCTATTTGCAGTGGGAACAGTTTTTGGAAAGATGAATGCTAGAACAGGTGAGTTCCTAGAGTAGGCCTACATTAATGCTGACAAAGACGAACATTTTCTTGAGGAAGATTTTAAATACGTGGATGATAAGATTTGAAATCAGGTTGCTGAGAGTGTTTCAAGACGAAAGCATAATGACATTGGTATCGAATGAAGCTTAGAATTTATTATATACAGTAGGCCCTATATGGTATGCGAATTGCGGGAGATGATGTAATAGAAGTGATTATAATGGCGCATAGGCCTATTGCCAATGGTTAGGTTTCTGACCTTCTTTTAGGAAGGACAGAAGTACTAGTTACCTTTTATTACCCCGATAAACCATAGTAGGCCTATTGCCACTCTTGTCATCGTTTACGGCTTGATGGGATGTAATATTTCTTCAATAAACCATTCAAAGATCCGTTCGAAATACAGCAATATAGCCTGAGGTGAGAGATTGACATCAGATTTATGTAATTGAAGTTGGACATCGATTGGTCTGCGACGTATATCTAATGATTCAATGAATTTTTAAAATATATATTTAGCATAAGACAGGGGGTCTTGGCCTACTGCTACCTGTGCAATGGACTGCCGAACCCTACCCCCGGGCCCCTGCCGATGGCTCATACACAATTCACAAGTGATCTTGGAGAACGCTAACTTGGTTTTATTCGTCCATGAATAGGCCTAAGCCTTCCGAAAATGTTAGGAAATTTCATTTTTACTGGGTAGGCCTATTTCTGGCCAACATTCGCCTTTTTGGTCGTCTAGGCCGGGTAGATCTGGCGAGTGCGACAGACATAAATAATGCCTATAGGTCCCCTATAATTACGCGGGGCATGAAGGAAGAGCGTCTAGACATGGGAGATGTGACCCTTAATGTACAAAACGTCAGATATAATAAGTTTATAAATTTTCTTCCTTTTTCTATTTGGACCTTTACGTTTAATTGTTAAAATAATGAGAGGTTGTTGACGAGCAAAAATATTTCATACGGAATCGCAGCAGGCCGGCTCTCACGCTTTCATTTAGGCCTATCTGATAGTTCTTCACAACAAATCTTTGAACTGTTAGATGTAGCCTACTAGCTAGACTGTGGTATTTAAATAACTTGGCATTACTTTGGGAAAAAAACTGTTAATAGCCACATCACGTTTTTGACTGGGCCTTATAATAGGCCTATATTAATATGGCCAACCAAGTCTCTCGCCAGCGAAGAATAGACCTTTAATTCCTATTCTCGGTGCATTCTGAATAGGCCTATATGTAGCGATTGATGGCTAAGGGGCCTAATAGTTTCATTTTATGCAGAAATTAAAAAGTGAACAAAATAAACAATTAAACAATACTGATGTCGCGGGTGATTGACACACGTGCGTCTTTGGACCCACAGCGGCTTGCACCTGTTCACACCCCTGCCCCACCCACCCCCGACACAGACTCCCTCTGTAACAGTAGACCTTTATTTTCCAACTAATTGATATAAATACCTATACATTTAACAAAAACAACGACTGAAACAACAAAATTTATAAATTTCCCATCATGGTATGTTAAGTATACGCTAGAAGTTCGTCGTTACATGACCTTACGAGGAGAGATCGTTGGAATAAAAAAAGTAATAAGAATGAATGGGCAATGCATTTCTTTGTCTCGTTGTGATTGGTCAATTGCAAAGAGCCCGGATAAGAATGTCTAGATATTTAGGCTTGCGAAATATGATTGGATAATGAAATTGGAGCATGCGTAACCGGATGTTATTCATCGTGTCGCGCCAGTGTGTGGAGGTGTGCGAGGGTTTTGCCGAGATGATGTTTCTCTACGGTACGAACGTTGGCGGATAGAAGGTATTTTACATCCCCTAAAATGAATTGGCGCTTTATTGATATGTAAACTGTGTTTTCTTATTTTCTCATGGGACTAAACGATCTTGATGAAGATGATATGGTACTGTTTTGTCTGACCAGGAGCCTGAGACAGTTACTCGGTGACATTTGATTTAGCGATTTGCCTTCTGCAGCCGGCAAATGTATAGCGTGCAAATGCTTTGCCTTTTCTATTTTGCGAAAAAAAGCAATAGATAGGGATAAAGAATGTTCTTAAGAAGGCTAACCATATAAGCTAGGTATCAAAATGCCAACCAAATTCGGATCTTCCACAGCCTGCATTACTTTGAAGAAATAAACTGTAGTCTGCAGTGTATTTCTTGTTTAGCAACATTTTGTTTGAAATGTCTTACTTGTCGATCTAATTTACTCTTTTAAAAACATAATATGGGCTTTATTAACCTTGTTAAATGCAGTGTGTAGTACAACAATTATGATAAGTGTGGACCTCAGTTCAGGACAACAATCAATAAATCAATAAACAACCAATAAACTTTTCTTATGCACAAGGTATTCAAATTGTACAAGATGACAAGGTCATTGTGACGGAGTCGTACTGACTCAGATTGGTCAATATTCCATAGAAAGTACTGTCATTTTTATGCCATGCTCAGGACATTTATCTTTCTCTTCACAAGGCTTATACAGTTGAATACAAGGTGGACCAGTATGGTGATATCTTATTTCATAGTAACATGTTGACAAGGAAAAAGTTTGTCATCCTTCTGATTTAAGGCTGTCAGTCAGCACAGTTTTTGAGGAATCTTGTAGCACATCCAGAAAATATAATCTCCACTTCCCAACACAGACTGATAAATCTTAATCAGTTGTGATACTCCTTTCCCCTCTGTTTAAGTTCACATTCTGCCCCAAATTCAAATTTTAGCCAAAACACTGTAGTTCTTGATGATGTTGCCAACTTGCCACCTTAACATCAGTTTGTTGCATATATGTAAATTGCATATAAAGTTAATTATGATATATCATCTGTTTCAAAAGTTTTAGACCATTTCAAAATATATTTGTCTTTGGACACATATTTTGTGTCCCAGTTTTGTAATTGTTATTAATGACAGTAATTTTATATGATATTTCAGGTCAAATCCAAATTGTTTGGGAATCGTACATAGAATTTTGTATGATATAAGAACTATGTACCAGATATTTGCTACAGAATTTACACATGACATTCACAAATTTTTCAAACAGTTGTGTTAAAAAATGTTCATGATATAAGAATAATTAAAATAAGTTTGTAGACTGTGTGGTTTACTGTTGATGAATATTTTTTAAGTCATTGATGTAGAATTTTTATGTAAAGAAGCTCAATCCAATTTTAGTAGGAAATGATTGGTGGTGTAATAAAATCTGATAACAGGAAGGAGATGATTTGTTACTTCTGCCAATGTTTGCAGATGGTGCCTTTTCTAAGTACCAGGAAATGAATTGATGTGTTTTTGTAAAATTGAATAAGACTGCATTGGCTACTATGGCAGAGTTGTCATTGTTTTTAAAAGACCCCTGTTTCACTTGTCCCATGAAGTTGTAATTGATCAGTGAAGTCAATATCGAAAGCAAATAATGTCCATTATGTCTTTATATAGAAACAAGATATATGATGATAACAAAAAAAGTAAATAAAAATTCCTGAAGTTTCAGCAATTTTTCAGTTATCACAAAGCTTTTCCTTGTCCCAAACCATTGAGAAAAATTATGATCTGAAAACAGTTTTAGATATCATGATTACTAACTTTTACCCTCATTAGTGTAAAGAATCCTTCTTCATCTGCATCATAAAATCACCCATACGTAAGAACTTACAACACAGAAGTGGTTTATGGCTTGTAAATTTGTCAATAATTTTGTTAAATTCAAGAAAATAAATTCATGTCCTAAGGTCCAATGCTCGTAATCATTGAATGGGAATGTGTATAGCTGGAAAAGTTACAGATGCTCATTTATAAATTATCCAATGTTCATGAATCTTTAGAAGATGCATAGTTATATTGCAAAAAGATTGGCTGACATGCCATCTAAAAATGTATCCATTTACTCTTTATCATCATAATTATTGTTTTTGTAGTGTCATTATCGTTGTTGTTTTCCATTTCATTTCTGCTTTTTTATTCACATCTGAAATAAGCTTATTATATTTGTACAGAGTCTAAATGTTTAATTCATATAAAGAGGTTATATGACTCTCAGATCATTGATTATTTATGATTTAATAATTTCCTTTATATTTTATTACAAGTGATCATTAAATAATTAATGTATTGTTTGTTTATTTTCTTTTAAGTGATGCGGATATAAGAGAACATATTGCAGTTTTTCGAAAAAGATCAGGAAAAAGAGTTGTTTCTTTCAACGAATCCGAGAGCAGCCTCTTCAAGGCCACCTTTTTTTATACTTGATATACACAAGGATAAGGGCATATAGTAGATGTGACTCCAGGCAAACCACTGTGTTTATTTAGAGATCTATCTGCTACTATCTATGATGATGACCAACCAAGCTCCCACCTCTGCTGATGCCTGCCTCAGCATTGTCCATAGCCTCATGTGTCACCGTCAGGGTGGGGAGAGTGAAAGCTTTGCTAAAAGAGCCATCGAAAGCTTGGTGAAAAAGCTGAAAGAAAAGCGCGATGAACTGGACAGTTTGATTACTGCTATTACGACAAATGGTGCTCATCCAACAAAGTGCGTTACAATTCAGCGGACGCTTGATGGAAGATTGCAGGTAATTAACCGATTTTTTTTTCCAAAGCATGATTACTTGTGTAGAACTCTTTAGAATGCGGCATTAAGTGCCTTTTGGGTCAATCAACCACAGGCGTGACAAAATTTTGACCTGTGATATGAAGGGTTTCAAAAGTTCACAATTTAGAAGTATTCATACTTAATTTCCTTTCATAGCCAGAGGAGACCCAGATTCTAGATAATTGAATTTTGGTCAATGGGCATCCCAGTGAACTAGCTGTTGACTCCAGCAGTAATCATGTATGCAAATGTAGGTGTGCCTGTAATATTGTGCCCTGATTAAAGACTGAAGGGCGCCTGTACCATACTATATAGAGAGAGTATACTGCACACTCCATTGCTCTGGATAAATATGGTACAAATGGAGATTATGTAGACCAGGATCATATCTGTGTAAGACTTCCAGTATCTGAACTTTGTAAATGTTGCCTGGATTAAGCATTGATTTTTGTGGTTATTCTACTCCCATTTATCCTCTGAACATTCTGATGACTCACTTTAAAGAAACAATTGAAAGGAATATGAATCTTATGATGTGTTCATTCATCATGCTGTGTGTGCATGGAGCTAAGATAACCACACTGTAATTGGTTTGAATGGCCTGGAGGAAAAAGTCATTCTCTCTTCACAACTACTAAAACCAAACTTTGGAAGATGTTTTTCGTCAACATTTGCATGTTGGGTGTTTTGAGTGTTGACATTATGAAAGTTATCATAATGTTTTTTCAGTGAAAAAATAATAAGTTTCCTTTCAGGTTGAAAACAAACACTGTTGTACTAACAAATGGGAAGAAGTGACTAGAATGTTATGAGTATCTGAGTTTGAAAAGATATTGATTTAGATGTAGAAGTTTACAAAACACTGTAATTTGTTCCTCTGCGAAAAGAGGTATCCTAAATGTCAGTAAAACAAGAAATATGCATGTTTTGCAAAGAGAAAAGAAGCAATGGCATTGTAACTATCTGCAATTCCTAAAACAGTTGTCCTATTGGGTCAAGCTTTCAGGATAGCTGATGCACTGGGTCAGTGCTAGTACTAGAATGACCTTGGCGGCCTCACATAAACTGGTTCTTGTTTGTTGTTTTTTTATTGGCGCCCTTTCAGTAACAAAAAGCACAGAGTTGTTTATGTAAAAGGTCAGTGTATTGTCCAGTGTTCAGTGTTATTTATTATAATAGATGTTCTCAACAATTTGGGCCAGGTGCTGTGAATAATGACGATGTACATCAGTAAGTGCAAAAATAAAGCGATTGCTTTCAATTCAACAGAAGAACTTTTCACTATACCAGTTGAATTTGGAATTTTTATTACCTGGGATCAGTTTGAAACAGAAATAACATTCCAAAAAAACTGCATGGACTTGTCTCATTAACATTATACCCAAGTTATTTTTCTTCTATAAGAAAGGCCTCAAAATGTCTTTTAAAACCAGTTTATTGTTTTTGCATCCTAAACTTAATTTGAGGTTGTCAGAATATTCAGTATATGCCAGGACAAGGTCCAAATGCATTGAACATAATTCAATCACATGTGACATGCAAACAGAAACCAAAACATATTTTGATGAATCTAGAGACCATTTTGTGCCTTACCCATTTAGATTTCTTACTGAAAAAAAATGTGTATATATGCTTATTGAACATTTTTTTGACATATGATTTATGTTTTTAACCAAAGCTTCTATTATTCTTGTTCTTATATTTATTATTATTAAACTTTATTTATTGAGGGAAAAATTATGGTAAATCTTAAACCTTTTTCACGGCCCTTCTCTAATAAATTATACGCTAAAATGATATACAGCTACTGTTTAAATGCTTTATTACATAAGTTATTTGTAGACCTATGGATTGAATAACAGCAAATTTGAACTGTGTCTTGAATCTCTTTTGGCACCCACTTATCAGATTGTCCGGCCAATTGATTAGCCCAAAGTTTTACCCCATGTCTGCCAGAGGCTTACCTTTGGATATGATAGCATGTTTATACTGTAACTAAAGATAAGGACATTTGGACCAGCTTTCACTGGGACAGTGTTGCTGCATATCAAGCATCCTTGCATAAAAACAAATTGATTTTTGAATTAGATATAGTGGCAAATATCCATTAAGAAGAAAACCCCTGGGTATCTTAATTGTTCTATCAAGTAGATATAGGCTTTTTGCTGTTACTCACTGACAAGTGGTAAGGACACATTTTAGTTATTGTTTGGGCAAGTTTTTAACTATTGTTTGCTGAATAACTTCCAATTTTGACTTTTCTATGGCATCGTTATCCAGACCTATTTATCAAGAGGATCTCTGATTTTGATTAATTTGCTCATATGCCAGAACTAAAACAGAAAATAACTACGGAGACAGCTGTCATGTTCTTAGATCATTTTCAGCACCCTTACTTGTCCTAAGTTTTGCCCATTTCTAGGCCAGTCAGTTTTGATGCTTGCCTTAGGGGTTGCCAGTTCCCATGTTTCTGATTTGATTTTAAGCGAGGTTGCATTGTTCTCTTCACCTTTGCAGGTGGCTGGCAGGAAAGGTTTCCCTCATGTTATCTACGCCAGGATTTGGCGCTGGCCAGATTTGCACAAAAATGAACTGAAGCATGCCAAGTTTTGCCAGTTTGCATTTGATCTGAAACAGGACAGTGTCTGTGTCAATCCATATCACTATGAGAGGGTGGTGTCTCCAGGGATAGGTGAGTTGGACCTCCTTCAAATCACGTAGAATCTGAGTCATTGCATGAAAGATTAATAAGATGCACCGTGTATGGTATACCTTTGTATAGTAACCATTAAATTTTCCTGGAAGGACAGGGATTTTTCCTTTATCACCAAGGTGCACCGTATTCAAAACTGTTGAGAAAAGTGTTATCGATAAACATATTTTCATGTTTTAAACTAATTAAACTAAATCAAAATTTTCTCATCACAAGTGGAATCATTGGTATCTCTCTCTCCATGAGGGAAATGACTCAGAAATTAGAAATTTAGCAACTCATAGGCATGTCTTTGGATAATTATTTTGTGAATGATCTTTGGTGTGGTATATCTTGATGATAAACTTCACAGTTTTTCAGTCAGTTGTGATTTTGAATATTTCTATAATTCATGAGTTAGGAAAAGATGTAAGATTAACTTGCTTCCAAATGCTTGTATATGCAAAATGGTAAAGAAGAGAGTTTGAAACTAAAATTTCAGATTTGTGAATAGTGAATTAAGTTAAATCTAGTATTTTTTTTAAATCAACATCTTAATGTTTCAGATTTGTCAGGCTTATCACTACAGTCAAGTATAACAGGTAAGAGCTGTGTAACATTGATGTCATTTAATATGAATTTGATAAATGTGTTAAGTGATTTCTTTGTCCTGTAATTTAAGTATTAGTCAGAAGCATAGTATTAGTCGTCTTTGATAT